GTGAGGAGGAAGGAGCAGCAGAGACGACGTGTGATGAACTGCGTGAGGAGGAAGGAGCAGCAGAGACGACGTGTGATGAACTGCCCGCAACACCCATTCCCCGTCCCCCTGCACTGCTTGGGGGAGGAGACAGAGAAATCGGGACTGAAGTTGAGCCTGGGAAGAAGGGAGGGGTGGGGGGAAGGTGTTTTTAAGATTTGGTTTTATATCTCATTATCCTATTCTGATTTTGATTGGTATTAAGTTAAATTAATTTCCCCAAGTTGAGTCTGTTTTGCCCGTCGCAGTAATTGCTGAATGATCTCCCTGTCCTTACCTCGACCCACGAGCCTTTTGTCGTATTTTTCTCCCCCTGTCCAGCTGAGGGGCAGTGACAAGAGTGGCTTGGTGGGCACCTGGCATCCAGCCAGGGTCATTCCACCACAACTTACTACCCTTAGTTAATAGAAGATGGAAAGATAAATCGTGGTAACACCCTAGTAATGAAAAATAATGTATTGTTTTGGGAACAGGTTTCACTTGGGGGAAAAAAATAAAGTTAATAGAAACTGTCTTTACCACATCAATTCTCATTTCACTACCATTTTTGTTACATTTATCTGAATTCCATTTTCAAAATTCAGAATTCCATTTGCGCTCCTCAGTGGAAATAAAAGGTGAGGACTGCATGCAAATGACAACCATAAATTTAAAGCAAAATACTTCTAAATGTTAATAGGACTGAGAAACTTTCATTTGCTTTAAAAAGAGCAAAGAAATCACTGTGCAAAGCTGAAATTTTACTCAGGGAAGCACTACTTTTGACAGGGTTTTTTAAATTTCCACTGGAGAAAAATCCTTTCAGATTGCAGAAACAACATGTTTAATTCTGGGATGTACTAACTCAAATTCCATATGTAATTTACAGGAGGTTAATATTCCCCTCTACTTAGTGCTGGCAAGGCCTCAGCTGGTTTACTATGTCCTATTTTGACCACCTCACTTAAAAAAAAAAAAAACAACACAAACCACACACAAAACCCCCTAAAAGCAGAAAAAAGAGAGAGAGAAACTACAGAAAGCTCAGAGGAGAACAAGAATTACGCAATAGTTAGAAAGTCTGCTCTATAAGAAAAGGTTATACTAGGGAGAAGATAATGTCAAAAACCACGATAAATTTTCCATATGTAAGAGGTCAATATAAAGAGGTTACTGACCATTTATTCACTATGGCTGCAATGAGGACAGGACAAGAAGAAAAAAAAAAATCAGACATAGACAATTTATATCACAGGGTAATTAAAACAGACTACCGGGAAGGGTTGTGGAATTTCCTTCACTGATATGTTTAAGAATAAGCTAGTCATACTTATTGTAATTCTGTGTGTCTTTATTTTAAATTCAGTGGTCTGCTTAGGACCAAAGCTTGAATCAGAATGGATTATTTTTGTCAAAATCAAAAATGAGCTATAAAAGAAACTCAGTCTTCTCTTGTCCATCTTGCATGTATTGTGGGGCTACATAGGGGATCTCAATATCTATTGTCTAAAAGGTATTACAAATACGACATTAATTAAACACTGAAGTTACAAAAATATCAGATGGGGTTTTGTACCTCACTTAACGCAATTAGTAATCTTAAGCAGTATCAGCAGGATACTTCTAGTATCCAGATGACCTTCTAGTTTACTTTTTTCTCCCTCTGAATTTGAGTTACAGTCATTACTTCAGAAAGCCTACCTTGGTGACGTCTTCCTTTTTTGCCCATAGTGATCGCACAGCTTCATAGGTTTGATGGCTTGCAGAAAATAACTTTTTCCCTGTTACCTATTTTTTTAGAAAAATGTGATTTAACAAGAGCTTTAAAAATACTAAGATACATAGACCATTCCAATCTTATTTGCATGAGAACATGCTTGACCCCATACTAAGACATTTCAATCATCTACTTTTCAAAATCTAGTGCATAGTTCTCTTACATCAAGCAAATCCTAAACAATGTTTAAATTGGTCCTAGAAATCCACAGGTAGCACTCACATTCTACATCCACCTACTCAAAATGAAATCAAAACCTGATCAGCAAACAGTGTTTTGGCAATGATAGCACAATAGACTGGAGCAGCAGTTTTAAAGGATCCAAACTTGTCTCACTATGTTGGAAATGATCAAAGAGTAACACAAAAGGAAAAAGCCCCAAAAGATGACGTGGCCCATGTTAGTGAGCAGTGCTTTGCTTTATAAATGACCAAATCCTTCAGTCTATTTTCAAAAAGTAATTTTATAATACTGCAGTAACTATGGAGTAGTGATACAAAAGGTGATACATAATGTAAGTAGACAGGAAACAAGGATTTAGCTTCCTGAGATAGGTCATAACGTACAGTGTGGCATTCCTATTCATTTCTCCATCCTCCAATCCTGACATTTAAGTCTTCTGTAATAAGCCAAGAAATCCCACTGCCTCTTGAGAAACTATAATCCTCATTGATTTGCATAGAAGAAAAAAACTATGTATCAGTTTAGCAATATAAGACTGCCCAAAGATTTTTAACCACAGTGTAGGTCTTTGCAATATCTTCCTAACTACTCTGGAAGTATAAAAATACCAAACAAAACCACCCCACTAAAATTACTAACAATAAAAACTGATTCATCATGATGGAAAGTTAGGAGATTCAATAGTAGTTTTTTCAATCAGATTTCAGGATAACGTTCCATAAATCTTTCTGTCAAAACTTAAATCTGATCATTTAACTAAAAGATTGATAGGTCCTAGAACCAAACACAAATAAACTAAATTTCCCTATCTCATCAATTTATCACAAAATGCAGTTCTGAAACTATAAATACAAAGTCCGTCAAGGAACTACAAAGAATTCTTGTAAAGCAGTATGTGCTTTTCTAAATAGGGAAACACTGGAAAACCTTAGAGAAGGAAGAGATATATAGACTTTATATCCTGCTTTTCAATTCACTTTTTGTGTAGAAAAAAATGTGTGCAAACAATACTTGCATACAAAATATTAAGTGTAGTTCTGCTTTTCTACATAAACAGCTAAGACATATTCTAATCAGGTAGACAACTGCAAGATGACACTAATTGGAAAACAAGGAATTCTAACGAGACGCAGTTGTACAGTATCTCAAATTGCACATCTATCAAGTTTGGCAAGGCTTTATTTTTTATTTAATTTTATTTCAGCAAGGTAAAATAATCTTCATTTATTTGAGAAACAAGGATTAAAAATTGAGAGGCTATACAACTGCATTTTTATTAATTTTTTATAGTTATGCAATTAACACCTGTGATGCATTATATGTTTTCATGAAGACACATGTGAATTCTGACTCACAGACCCAAGATGCTTAATTCAAGTGAAATGAGAATGCCATGACTAAATTTACTGTTAATTCAGTACTAAAATACAGGTAAACTTACCTTAGCAATTACCACTGACTGAGCTGGGTAACAAACAGAAATTCCTAAAGTAGTAAGTCCCAATGGATATGCAATTTTCTTAAATCTAGAATCTGTATAAAGCCAAATATTTCAAATAATTAGACACTAATGAAATGTAAAGCTAAGCAGTTGTATCAATTAAATGCAATTGTTTAACCATTGCTTATGTCAGTATCCCCATCCTGTTATCTCCATAACGGCTGGATGAGAGAACACAGAGTGTGATTATAGTTTAGCACAGTCACGTTTGCAGGAGATACTGATATTCTGAACATTGGTTTCTTGAATGAGAAATAATCCCAAACTAGATTTTTCCAATACTGTGAAAAATGAGAAGAATGTCTGTGTCATTTTGGAGCCGCTGTGGTTCTTCACTAGCTCCATATGCACTCTCCTGAGGACACAGATGGCAGAATTTGGAGCAGTCAGGAGCCTGGAAACTGGGGCCTCTTGTTCAAACATGAGAATGGCTGGGCCAGGCTCAGGTTCCTGTCTGTTGACAAGGAGCCCTGATGACAGATTCGAAGCCCATGTCTTTTAAATCTGTCCACCAAAAAGTAATAGGGATACAGGAAGAATGCTTTTACTAGAAATCTTCTATTTTACTAGAATCTTCTATGATTCTATGACTAATCTGCCAGTATTTTCATTTTTTCATTAATCCATTTGCCTTGTGAAATATTCAGATAGACACACGCTCAGGTATTACAGATTAACATTTTCTGAACAATATCTTCTAGCAGTTTAAGTGTTATTCTTCTACTATTTATCTTGAAAGCAGAGGTGGCTGTATCTATCAAATTAATCCTTTTGGCTTCAAAGCTGCCGAAATCATGCTTTCTGATGTGTATACTCTTGTACCTGTGTAGCCAAATGCCAACACTCTTTAGCTTCTTCCCTCTAAATTCCCTTAGTTTTCACTATATTCAGCAACCTTACCTATTAATTTGTCTCCAATTTCCTCCCATACACACATTGTTTCTGAAAACCAATAATGAACAAACTCAAAACAAGTGTCCTACTTTGAATTTCTGTTGATTCCACCATTAAAAATGACTGTATAATCCTGCTCTATCTATTAGGTCTTGGCCAGCTTCTAAAAGAAATACTTAGTAACATCCCTTCAATTTATCAGGAAGGATTTTTTTTTTTAATACTAGTTATAGAAGTTTTTGCCTACGTTTCAGAAAAATCTTTTGACCATCAAAATTACTACGTTACATATGCAACACACCAACAACGAAAATACGCAAAAACCCCTACCTTTTCTTGCCAGCAGTATGCCAGCTAAGCCTGATATTGTAATTACACCAACTTTGGGAAGAAATTCTGGTGGTGGATTCTTCAGGTAAACATAAGCATCTTAGAATTAAAAAAAAAAAAAAAGGAACAAGAAAAAAAAGAAGCATAACAATTCAATATTAATCCTTTTATTTTATTTCCCACTTAAGAAATGAAGATGGAAGTAAAATTATGAATATCCAAAACTGAAAACAGTCCAAGACTGGATTTTTGTTAATGAATGAAGATGCCTTATTTTCCAGGTGCACACTCTGCAGTCTGTGTTAGACAGAACCAGAATCAGAGTCCTCAAAACGCAGCAGCAAAGTTAACAATTTTTCTCCTTGGGTATTTTTTTATATTTTGTAAAATGTTAGTCCTTAATAAAGAAAAAGGAAAGCATAGTTTTAAGTTTTGATTTTACTGTGAGTTAATTTAGAGTAAATGAGAAAACACACATTTTGGAACCTCCCAATATACTATTTTTAAGGAAAATAACTTTTATCTATAGTTTCTGATACTGAACTTGAATGCAAATACTGCTTGTAACTTGTGCTAGAATTAAGAAGCCGTTTTTATAATTAAGACAGGTTGTGGAATTTCTATCACTGGAGATGTTCAAGATCTGACTGGACAGAAATCTAAGCGACCTGCTTTGGCCCTGCTTTAAGCAGGTAATTGGACTAAACGATCTATAGAGGTGCCTCTGCAGAGAGATCTATGGATCTATAGAGATTCCAACTTCAATGATTCTGTGATACTATGATTTTAAGAACAAAGCTAAAATCAAAGGAATGAGAAATACTATTTAACTGGTCATTGGTCACTCCCCTTCCACCTTTTCCCCTTCCTCCCCCCCGTAACTAGAATTTGCTGTTTCAGCCATCTAAATCGCAAGGAGAAACAACAGAAAATGCTCAATTCAGAAATATGTGACTTGCCTACCTTTTCCAAATTGAATTGAACCCATTATTCCATTTTTAACAGAGACAAAAGCATCCTACAAAAAACAAACAAAAAAAAGAAAACAAAATAAATATAAAATCTTTGCAAAAGTAGATGTTTTCAGTACAAAACTACTCAGTCGATACATATGGCTCAGCACAATGAGACAAAGAAATATTATGTAACTTTAAAAAACCAAACCAGATCAGTGAACTTCTACAGAGGCTGTGCTGAGATCTATTCCCTTTTTGACTACCATATTTACATTTTTAAAACCTCCATCCATATTTAATTTTAAAAAATCTCTTTAATATGGTAAGATCACTTTCAAAATTGACATCTCAGGAACAGAACTGTAGGGTGGCAAAACATCTGGATGCCCACTGTATAACATAAGAAAATTCAATTATAAAATACAATCTTCCCTTCCCTAGAGAGACTTAACCAGTAAAAATGACTTTGTCTTTTAGTTTATAAAAATGGTGCTCAGTTTCGCTAAAGATAAGCAATACTGATTTGGTCTAAGATGCGTGCTCAATTAGTTTGCATTACTCCCTTCAATTGCTCAATTTATTTAATTACAGATTTTTCTTCATCCAGAAAAAACCCTTCTACTAGTCTATTATTAGTATCATTGTCCTCAGATTGCTAAACAAATTGAGTAAATACACATTCTTTAGGAGATTAATGGAAAAGAATGTCATCTGGAGTTATTTCACCGCAATCGTTTGTTTGCAGTAACATAGAATTTGTACCACCAGAGGTCACTGCTAGTCAATCCCTGAAACACTCCCTTGATGAATAAGGGCATGGAAAAGTTTGATACAGATTTGTAACTAAATTAGTTCAGTTATGCAGTCACTGACAAAATTTTCACAGACCAACGGAATCAAAATTCACAGAAAATATTGGAAGATATTTTTATTTCCTTGCCTTTTTCAAATAATAGGGTCTATTTTGTTTGTAAGAGAAAAATACAAGCATAAAATTTCTTATACTAACAACACCCAGAGTAAAAAGTTGTCATTTACCAGCAGTTAAGAGAATGGTGACAGACATCGCATTTTCTTCTTTGCCTAGAATATTCAATAATAGACTTGGCGAGGTATTGTTGATGACTAGTCAGTAATAGCCTGCTTTAACAGTTACATTGGATGCACTCAATTTGTCTTTCCTAAAGAACCCAAATCAGGTCTTTTAACCTGCCCTTTGGAAGCAGCTCTCTCTCTCTCCATGGACTGTATCTGGAATTTCAGACTCCTAAACGCTATCAAGTTCTGCTAGCAAGAAGTTACCTACGAAACTCTTGCTGTAGACGTTAACCAAGAGATATTTCTGAACCTGACATTGTGGGTTGGCCTAGATCCAGTTTAGCATTGACTGAAAAGGACCTCTCTGATCTCACTGCCTTTTGATTTGGAAAACAAGGAGAACGCACGGGTTCCCTGTTATAAGCACAGTAGAGAAAAATGAGAGAAGGGTTCATTTTTGCATCTTAAATTGTAGGTGTATGCTACTACAAGGAACTGCAAACAAAATCTCCAGGGTGAAGTAGCTGTTTTTTCAACATTTTAGTCAAGTGCTGTCAGGAATTGTAGGAAACTTTGGATGCAGGTATTTCTTACTTTGCACCATCCAATATAGTGGCCGGTTGTCTGTCGTACTGAAGAAAATTGTTTCTGCAAGTAACCAGGCTGTTCTTCAACATATTTCGATTTCAGAGGTGGTGGACAGTAAATTGGAAGCTGGAAAGAAAAGCATAACCGTACTGCAGGGAGACAGTTTTGTATACTGATTAGTATTTACACTGAATAGTGTTTTTCAAGACTGCAAATCCTTAGTGTTCCCATTACAGCAAACAAAACCTCTATATTTAATTATGTTCTTCTGTATTTACAAACTTACTTTACACAAGTGTGACTACAGGTTAATTCTTTAGAAATGAAAACTGAAAACACTGCATAGCTTCTAAGAAGTAGAATTACCGAGTATGATAAAAATATGTTTTATTCAGAAAAAGAATGAGCAAGAATAGTTGGAAGATGCATGCATGTATTACTAGAAATTGTACAACAGAAAAAGACTATTATTATCAGTAAGTATTATACTCTCTTACCTTCTCTGGTTTCAGTCTGGAAATAATGTAATAATGAAAATGAGATAAAACTTTACTGACTTACTATTGTAACACTTCACGTTTCATTTGTGCTACAGTGGTCAGTTATTTAGGAGGTAATTTTTATTATCGCGTATTACTTAGCCATGTATTTTATTTACTGGGTAATATAATTCAATGGAAAGAGATGATATTCTGCAGATTCTTCTAGTATTATTTTCAAGACTGACAAACAGTAAGATTCTTACCTGATTTGGTTTCATCAGCTGACCTTTTGACTCCTTTTCTGTTGCTGCATATACAGTAATACATGCAAATGGCAGACCAGAAGAAAGAGCTGTCAGCTTTGCCACCTGGGACAGACAGATGAAAAAAGGGAGTTTTAATGCATAAATACAAATTTCACTCCAGTAAAATCTGGATTTTCCTATTGTATTGTGCTTGATCAAATATGGGATTACACAAGTCACTTTTAAAACCTTTTTAAAACAGTATGCCTTTTAGGAACCTCTTCTGCTTTATACAGAGATTTTCTCAAATTACAATGGTAAAGAAAAAGCTCAAGATCACTGACAACAACAGTTACGTCTAAAATATCAGGAAGAATTTTGTGTTCAAGGCCATGTGGATGCTTCCATCATCGCTTAAGGTAAATTAAGTTCTAATCTATTCAACATACAGACACTCCAAGTCAATGAATGATTCTCTTGTTTCAGCAAAACACACCTCAATTTTATTTACAGGAATTCTCCCTGATATCAGACAAGATGTCATCTCCTTTCCAATTCAGAGAATGGTTCAGCTACTGTCTGTTTGGAATAACAATTATTGTCGACAATAAATGAAAATATATAGCAATAACTGGAATTAAGAATCACCTGCTTAACCTTTCGAATGACGTATGTTACAATGTAAATTACAGAAATACAGGTTTGGTCATGAGAGTTTGATGTCTACTTAGAACATTGATTTGGAAAAAAACACCATAGATTACACAAAGCTCAAACTCAAATACAGCTTCAAGTGAATATTTTTTAAACGATTGCCTTAAGATTCCAATCAGAGCTGGCATTACGCATGCTGGCGTACCATATATTAAAAAACTTGCCACAACATGTTGAAGCATCTGCAACTTCGGAGATTATAGTTTCTTCTACACCAGTAAAGACTTTTCTGTTCTGTTCTTCACCTGAAGCATTTTTGAAACTTTAAAAATGTGAAAACAAGTATGAAAAACGTTCCCAGGATCTGCACAGAGATGATGGTGGTAAAGTGCCAGAAAAAGAGAAAAACAGGGAAAAAAGCAACTTGATTTTGGGAAATACCTTAAATCCCTAGTATAAAACTCTACTATATCCTCATTGTTATCTCAGCTTTCAACTGGAAATATCCTGTCAAAGGACTGGGATTTACTGCATAATATTTAGTTATAATAATGAAAACACAATGAACACGAAGAAACACAAAAGCACCACCCTGAATTAGCTCAGGTTCATGAGACGTCAATCACGCGCAGATTAAACTACTCAAGACAGCAAAACACCATCGCTTCTAAAGTCAACTGTGCAATCATCACAGCAAACCTGCCTGTGAAAAAAGCCATAAGCCCAGATGACGTCTTCTGGAGAATTCATTATGTACATAGATCGACACTTCACCAGAATTACAGATATTAGAAATTACCAGCCTTAATGCTCTGGATGGGAGGGAGGGGAAGGTCAATGGTAAGAGTCAGAAGATTTCCAGTAATACCAGTGCCATGCTACTGACACTGCCATCATGCTGCAACACGTACCACCAGCGGGTTGGTTTTTTCACAGGCACAAAAAGCACATTGGTTATTTTAAAGCACTAAACAGTGTAGACTAACAGGCATGGCATTATTTTTGATGAGGAGACTGAATAGCAATTATTTGCTGAAGAAATTTATTATATGCTCTCTAGCAGAAAATTGTTACAGCTATGCCTTTTAATAGTAGAGCTGGAGTAAAACTAATCAAAATATAGTAATAAAACTGTCAAAGGTACCTGGATAATTTTGGTTTTAAGTCTTTGCATTTCAAACAATCTACTTCAAACTGTTAGAGTCTTATCAAAGATCAAAAATACAGAGCCTATAAAAAAAAATGTTAAAAAGCTACACGACTACAAAGAATTCACTATCTTCAACTCAAAAGATGCAGAATACAAAGTAAAGCATAATAAAACCATATATTTAATTTATGCTAATCTCCAAGACGTTAAGTATTGTTTCTCACTGAAACTGCAAATTCTGTATACTTGCTTCAAGAATTGGAGCACAAATAAGGAAACTTGCCCTGAAGGTAGGAACAAGCCGCAAAATGAAAACAGGTATTCAAAGGAGTAGGCTATATGCAAAAATCTGATGCGTGTATATGTATATAAATATATACGCCTTCTCTATCACAAAGTCAAAATCTACTAGTCTGATTAAAATAAGATTAAAATTTTATCAGCTACTGCATTTTATCAGCTACTCATATTTTCAGTGGAGAGCTATTACTCAAGGAATAAGAGGCATGGGTTTATAGTTTTTTGCTACCACTTAGATGTCTTGAGGTAGAACAGAAAACCGTCTCCGATCCTTTTATTTTTCCCAGAAGTTACATGAGACATGACAATTGTCAGAAGTTTCCAGGCCAAATCCAGTATTTCAATTTGGATATGTATTTATAAGTCTCTAACGACAACTACAGAAAACCCACACAAGTGGAACAGAGCATCCTTCCACTTCAACTCACTGACACTCCACAGATCTGTTTTTGATCTTTGTCTGCCAGATGGTAACCCATGGAGAATGAAAACTTAAGAAGAAAAAAACTCTTATTAATTTTTCATAGTAAATAATAAAGAACACACCCAAAGTTATGTCACTTCACCAAAGGCACCGAATCATTCAGACTTATGTACTAAACTATACTACTTCAAGATCACCCAGCCATACAGCGAAGCCAAATACAGTTCCTACTTTCAGGTACTTGTCTCATAACAAACTAAGGTAAAATGCTTCATTTTCATTCCTTTGGCTGTCCTCATTTGCATAATCTTTTTCTTTGCAGATATATACACGTTTTAAATGCTTTGCAAAAGTAAATAGGAAGATTCATGTGAGACCAACCTATTCATCAATTTGACTATGAAAACTGGAAAACCTGTCTAAATAGTTGAGAGAAAGCCTAGCTCTTTACAGGCACATTCTTCCCTGTTTAAAGAGACTATATCATCTCTACAGTTAAAGATATTTCAGATACTTGTGACCCTGTTAGTTTCCAACAGTGTGATTTTAACATTCTTGCTTTAGTGATGTATAACACTACCACACTTTACAATGCTACTACCAAACTAGTATCTTGATACTTTGTCTCTCGAGTAACGAGTGGAAGGCGTTTCAGAAGCTGTAAGTAGATGGAGAACAACCAGCAGAGAAATACTTCTTTTATTCCCTGCTGTACAATTTAACCACTCTCCTGAACCAGCTCTTTCCACCTCAAGTTCTACCACGGAGAAAGCAATACTGAGACCTCTTACTTTCCTACTCCTCCTTCATCTGAACGCTCGGCTGCAGGGATGTCTCATTCCCCCACGCTGGAGCAGCGAAGTTGTGCAGCCAACACGCGTTCAGCGCTGGGGAAGGACTGTGCGAGGCAACATCGCCCCAGCGAGCTATTCGGCATGGCGGGCCTATCTGCTCCTCGCCCTGCGGACTCCGCGCACTCCCAGTGCTCCTCCCGAGCTCAGCGACGCCCCGACCGGAGCAGCCGCCGGGCCTGGGCTGCAC